TTCCGATCCAGCTCTCTGCTGATGGCCTGGGAATGCAGTAGAAGATGGCCCAAGTCCTTGGGCCCCTGCACCCACATGGGAGACCTGGAGAAAGTGCCTGGCTCCTAGCTTCAGACCGGCACAGCTCTGGCCGTCACTGCCATTTGGGGAGTGAACCAGTGGATGGAAGACCTTTCTTTCTCTCTCTTCCTCTCACTTTAACTCTACCTGTCAAATAAATTAAAAAAAAAAAATAGTAATAATATTCATGAGGCTGGCGTTGTGGCATAGTGGATTAAGTCACTGCCTGTGATGCCAGCATCTCATATGGGTGCCAGTTTGAGTCCTGGCTGTTCCACTTCTGATCCAGCTCCCTGCTTATGGGCCTGGGGAAGCAGAAGATGGCCCAAGTACTTGGGGTACCTCCACCTATGTGGGAGATGTGGATGAAGCTCCTAGCTTTGGCCTGACCCGTTGTGGGCATTTGGGGAGTGAACCAGCAGATGAAAGATCTCTGTCTCTCCCTCCATCTGTATATAACTCTGCCTTCAAAATAAATCAAATGAATCTTTTAAAAAATTAATAATATTCAGTTAAATGTCTCACTTAGATTTACCAATGAACTTTTTTTTTTTGAAAGATTTATTATTTATTTGAAAGACAGAGTTGCAGAGAGGCAGAAACAGAGAAAGAGAGAGAGAGGACTTCCATCTACTGGTTCACTCCCCAGACGACCCCAATAGCCAGAGCTGCACCAATCCAAAGCCAGGAGCTAGGATCTTCTTCTAAGTCTCCCACATAGGTGCAGGGGCCCAAGGACTTCTACTGCTTTTCCAAGCCACAGCAGAGAGCTGGATTAGAAGTAGAGCACCTGGGACTTGAATCAGCGCCCATATGGGATATACATATGACGGCTTTACCTGCTACACCACAGCGCTAGCCCCACCAATGAACCTTAAAAGATCATAAATAAAATTAGAAGGTCATGAAAAACAAATAGTTCGTTCAACATTGTGATGTTGGTTACCTTTATTTCCATGTAATATTCTATATAGTGAGTTATTGTTTAAATATCTATGAACCTTAAAAAAAAAAAACACCTATAATGTGTAGACGGTAACTCATTACATTTGTCTAGATCAGACAGATATGTAGCAGGTGTTTAGTCGTGATCTGAAATGACAATATTTGATGGCACTGAGTCCCAGAGCACTGTGCCCCTGCGTTAGGATGTGCCTGCCAGAGCCTGTTTTTTGCCTTCCTGGTTGGCCGCTGATAAGAAGATTTAAATGAAGGTGGAAGGATTTTGCTTCAAGGCAAAGAACTCAACAGAAATCCATTTATATAACTTGTGTGGTATTGAATGACACAAACTACTGGTGGAATGTAGTCATTCATATGTAAAGGTGGTTCTTCCAGGGAGCTGCCTGGGTCTGATAAGCAGGGCTGGGAGAGAACAGTGCATTTGTAGTATGTGTTTAAACCTTCCAAGAATACCCACACAGATTCGACTCATTACACTATTTCTACATTCAGCACACAGGCAAGAATATCTTCATCTAATTTTGAAGTGATTGTTGTTTTCCTACAAAGATAGCTTCTGGAACAGCTGATATGATCCTTATAAAAATGCAAATTTTATTAACTCTGTTGCTGCTTATCAAATACATGAACTTCTGCCAGTAAGCAATGCAATATGATCAAAAGAAGACAATTTACATCTTGGCTTGAACAGCATCTCATAAGTAGATTTTTATCTTCACAGTACCGCCTCCACCTGCACTCTGAACCCATATCAGAGAGTAATTTGTACTAAGGTTAATGTAATTTATTTTGAAATATAGGCTTCCTTGGAGGCACTACTGGTTCAGTTCCCGACTGCTGCAGTAACACTAGTTTCGGCATAAAGCAGGTCCAGTGTATATAAAAGTTGTGTTTGTATGTTACAATAGACTGTATCATTGTCAGTTAAGTATATAATAGCATTGTATCTTAAAAAACAATGTATATACCTTAAAAATACTTTCTTGCTAAAAAATTCTAACAGTCAACTGAAATGTTGGGAAAATGGCACCAATATACCTTTTCCATGCAAATTACTACAAATCTTTAATTTGTGAAAATATGTGTGTGTGTGTGTGTGTGTGTAGTTATTTGTGGCATGTAATACAGTGGACCACAGTTAAACAGGTGTTGTGCACTGGGCATACATGTTTGGGGTAGTTCACTTTAGCAGTTTTATGGAGCTTCAGCTAGAATTACAGACACCATTCTTCAGTGACCTATTTCAGTGCCATTTCAGTCATTATTATGGCTTGGAGGGGTTTGGGTGGTCAGCATGGAATAATTAATCAAGAAAAACTGGTGGTTTAGTGGTTTAATTTTTTTCTCCCAAGAAACAGGACCTTGTTTTTAGCATTTGTGGAAAATTATATGTGTGTGTGTATATATATATATATGTATATGTGTATATATATATATATATACACAGAGAGAGAGAGAGAGAGAGTTTCTAACTTTTAAAACGCCATTTTTATTTTCAGCTCTTACTTGATGACAGCAAAAAGATTCGATTTTCTGCTCCCTAGACATACTTTTTTCCCTTTTAGTGCTCCTCCTTTGTTGATGCCACTCCCTGGAACTAAAGCAGCAGCTTCAGTGGACAAATACGCTGTGTTTAAAGGAATTGCAGCAGACAAATCCTCTGAAAATACTGTTCCATTTGGAGGTAAAAAAAAAAAAAGTTTAATTCATACACCTATGAATGTAACATTTAATTACATTGTGTGCATCTTTGTTTCAAGTGGTAGCCTTTAAGCATGTCTGGTTAACTTGATCTGCCTGCCTAGAGCTATGATGATATCAAGGTCCCTGATTTTAATTGAGCTTTTGTCTTTCCATCACAGAACCTGGTGATAAATACAGTGCTTTCAGAGAACTGGAACAGACAGCAGAAAGTAAATCTTTAGGTAAGCTTTTGATTCTATAAGCAGTTAAATTATATCAGTCTTTAATAAAAGAGGTTTTTGTTGGCTCTTTCAGTGATAAATCTGATATTCACTTACTTTACTATGTATGTCTTTAGGAGAAAAAAATTGAATGAATAGAGCAATATAATATACTGATTGTCAGGATATTCAAACTACACATTTTTAATACAGAAAACTTTGGTGACAACCCATTATGTTTAATAAATATTGTGATAAGTGCAGAGTGAAGATCTTCTGGAAGAAGAATAAGACTTAAATTTTTTTGTGGCTCTAAAATTTACAAGATGGCGAATTGGTTCAGTTAATGAGAGTTATTTTCTAAAATTAAGGGCAAATCCCAAATCATTATAATTTCCTCTGAAGATACTACATTCCCTTTCTTTGAAAGTCCACATGCCAGGTTGGATTCCTGTATCAAATGAAGTTCTTTGACTACTTTTGTTTACTGTAATGTTCAATAAGACTTCAACTGTTTTCATGGAATCAATCCGTGGACTGGGGCTGGTGTTGTAGAGTAGCAGGCAAAGCTATTGCCTGTGATGCCAGCATCCCATGTGTGACACCAGTTCATGTCCCAGCTGCTCCACTTCCTTGCCAGTTTCCTGCTAATGTCCTGGACAAAGCAATGGAGAATGCCCAAGTGGCCCCTGCCACCCACGTGGGAGAACTGGAGGAAGCTCCTGGCTCTAGAGCTAGTCTTAAATGTCAAAATTTGGTGTTTTGTGTTTTTTTCCTCTGTTACTGTTTTGCTACCTGGCACTATTGTTTTTTAGATTCCCGATAAACATCTATAAAGAAAAGATTCTAGAATGACATTATTGAAAACAACCCTGAGGGGTTTAGCCTAGCAAATTTAGCCTAGCAAATAAGACACTGGTTAAGACAACCTTGTTCCATGTTGGAGTGCCTGGATTGGATTCCCAGCTCCAGGTCCTGATTCTAGCTTCTTGCTAATGCAGATCCTGGCAGATACACCATGGCTCAAGTAGTTGGGTACCTGTCACCCACGGAAGAAACTTGGGTTGCACTCCCAGCTTCCACCCAGCCCCAGCCATTGAAGATATTTGGGGAGTAAACCACTATATAGGACCTCCATGCCCCCTTCCTCACCTTCTGTCTCTGTAAATATATGAAAGTTTAAACAAAAACAGCCCTGATAAAGTACAGTCACTGCTAGTGTGTATCTATTGCTACTGCCTGGAAGCAGATGCAAGATAGTTGGTGTTCACAGAGGTAGGGTGTGTTACTGTCTTATAGCTTCTGTAATCCTAGAGGTATACATTTGTACAAAAGCATTATATGAGACTTCATTCAGCTTTTCCAGCAGAGGGGGCCCAAAGCATGGTATGACACCACTGTGATAAAGAAGTGTAGTGTCTATTTTTTTTTTTTTTAAGATTTATTTATTTATTTAAAATCAGAGTTAGAGAAGGCAGGAGAAAGAGAAATCTTCCATCCACTGGTTCACTCCCAAATGACCACAATGACTGGGGCTGAAACAGGCTGATGCCAGGAGCTGGGAGCTTCTTTCAGGTCTCCCACATGTGTGGAAGGGGCCCAGGACATGAGCCATCTTCCACTGCTTTCCCAAGCACATCAGCAGAGAGCTGGATCAGAAGTGGAGCAGCCAATGTGGGATGCCAGTGTCTCAGGCAATGGCTTTACTCGCTATGCCACAGTGCTGGCTGCAGTCCATGGACTGATGCACTGAAAACAGTTGAAGTCTTGTTGAACATTACAATAAAGAGTAGTCTCTTCATTTGATATTTGAACCAGCACCTGTATGAGATGCTAGCATTGCAGGTGGCAGCCCTGAGCACTGTAGTTTCTTAGATAGAATTTCCTCTCATTAGCACAGGTGTTTTTTTTGTTGTTGTTGTTTTTTGTTTTTTGACAGGCAGAGTGGACCATGTGAGAGAGAGAGAGAGAGAGAGAGAGAGAGAGAAAGGTCTTCCTTTGCCGTTGGTTCACCCTCCAATGGCCACCGCGGCCGGCCGGCGCGCTGCGCCCGGTGCACCGTGCTGATCCAATGGCAGGAGCCAGGTACTTCTCCTGGTCTCCCATGGGGTGCAGGGCCCAAGCACTTGGGCCATCCTCCACTGCACTCCCTGGCCACAGCAGAGAGCTGGCCTGGAAGAGGAGCGACCGGGACTAGAACCTGGTGTGCCGGTGCCGCAAGGCGGAGGATTAGCCTAGTGAGCCACGGTGCCAGCTAGCACAGTTCTAAGTACTTACTGCTCTTCATGAACATCAGCTAAAAATCATTAAAAAATAAATAAAAGTAAACTTATACAAAGATGACCAAGTGAAGGCGAACAATATTCAACCTAAGTGTATTTTACCAAATCTGTCATTTTTGAATGGTGAGTGTTTCATGGAGGAAGGGGCAGGAGGGTACTAAGTGGCACCTCAGAGCTTCAGCCATCTGCTGGATCATGGCGTCATGGGGCAGGCGCTGTGACATAGTGGGTAAAGCTGCCGCCTGCAGTCCCGGCATCCCATATGGGTACTGGTTCGAGTCCTGGCTGCTCCACTTCTGATCCGGCTCTCTGCTGTGGCCTGGGAAAGCAGTAGAAGATGTCCCATGTCCTGGGGCCCCTGCACCTACGTTGGAGACCCGGAAGAAGCTCCTGGCTCCTGGCTTCAGATTGGCGCAACTCTGGATGTTGCAGCCAATTGGGAAGTGAACCAGCAGATGGGAGACCTCTCTTTCTTCTTTGCTTCTCCTCTCTCTGTAACTCTTACCTTCAAATAAATAAATCTTTTATAAAAAAAAAAAAAAAAAAAAAGACATCATTTCAAACAGAAGCAGTAACCACACAGTTGCCTACCTGGATGTGTTCCTGGATGCTGACATCAGTATCTGTCATCTGCTCACTCACCCAGGAAGCAGGGAGGCAGTTACTCTACTTTGGTTATATTCAACGCAGTCATCACTTTTCTCAGTTTTCATTGTTGGCTATAATATAATGAAAAAAATGAGGGGTTTATGTGCATGTCTCTGAGAGAAGGGCTTAAATAGTGGAAGAGAGTAGAGAGTAATAATTTGAGAGCCTTTTTTTTTAAGAGAAAGGGTTTATTTTTGGGGAAACCCAGCAGACTGGAGGGAAGGGCAAGAGCCAAATCTTTAAAAACTGAAAGTTTGTCTTTAAATCCTACTGTAAACATGATGTGTAGAGTTTAGATAATGCAGAGATCAAAATTAGGTCCTTTAAAGCTTAACTGCATTTTGTAAAATGTATATATGCTAATAAGGATTTCCTTCTGGGAACAGAACCACATTCTGTCTTTATGTACTGAGGGCTTAAATCATGGGACATCCTTCTGCAGTTTATTTCTGCCATTCTATTCAGGGTGGAGAAGATTCCGATAAAGTTAGGGAAGTAGGATAGAATCTGTAGTGCTTAATCATCTCACGAAAGGGAAGCCTACCTCCTGCAAACATATTTAATCCCTCATGTCAAAATATTCAGCTTTTAGGTTCTAGAATTATTTCCTTGTGTTCATCCTTGAGTCAGGATGTAATAGCTATTTCTCCCTCGGTGCCTGTAGCAGGCACTGGGAGTACAAGGATAAACCCTTAAGTTTTCATTTACTTTCAACAATGCTTTCGTCACCTCTGGGCCAAGGCTGCTGTGGAATAAAGAGCACAGTCTAGTGTTAGGGTTCTTTGTGTAATTGTATCATTGATGATCATGTGATACACATGTTAATTCTAAAACACACAACAGGAAAAGATAGCAGCACCACCCAAACATAAGCAATACCTTAGTCTTAGTCTTGGCTTTTAGTCTTTTTTTTTTTTTTAAAGGTTTGTTGGAAATACAGAATGACAGAGAGAAGGATGGTCCATTTGCTGGTTCACTCCCTGAATGACTGCAATGACCTGAGTTGGGCCAGGCCAAAGCCAGGTACCTGGAATTCCACCCAGGTCTCCCACGTGTGTACAGGGCCCACTTCGCGCTGCCTTCCCAGGTGCATTATCAGGGAGCTAAATGGGAAGTGGAGCAGACAGGACTGCAGCTGTGGTGCTCAGTTGCAGGGTTCCCGTTGACAAGCAGCAGCTTAACTCACACAGCGCCAGCCCCAGGAGAGTAGCTTCTGTTCTGCTAAATGGTGGGAGACATTTTTTATACTCTCATTATAATGACGCTGGCTTGACCTCATCAAACTATCTTGGAAATTTTGAAGAATCTTTAGAAAAAAAAACAACAACTTTTATTTAATGAATATAAATTTCCAAAGTACAGCTTATGGGTTACAGTGGCTTTTTCCCCCCCATAACTTCCCTCCCACCCGCAACTCTCCCTTCTCCCGCTCCCTCTCCCCTTCCATTCACATCAAGATTCATTTTCAATTATCTTTATATACAGAAGATCAATTTAGCATATATTAAGTAAAGCTTTCAACAGTTTGCTCCCACGCAGAAACACAAAGTGAAAAATACTGTTTGAGTACTAGTTATAGCATTAAATCACAATGTACAGCACATTTAGGACAGAGATCCTACATGAGGAGTAAGTGCACAGTGACTCCTCTCCTGTTGTTGACTTAACAAATTGACACTCTTGTTTATGGCGTCAGTAGTCACCCTAGACTCTTGTCATGAGTTGCCAAGGCCATGGAGGCCTTTTGAGTTCTCTGACTCTGATCGTATTTAGACAAGGTCGTAGTCAAAGTGGAAGTTCTCTCCTCTCTTCAGAGAAAGGTACCTCCTTTGATGACCTGTTCTTTGAAGAATCTAACATTGTGTTTAGAGCTATAGGTTTCTGAGATTCCTTAATGACAGTTTATTATTTGCTTTTTCTACCTTTATAGTTCAAAGCAGAACTTAAAGGTGATGGAAGGAGCATTCTATAGAGAGAATGATGATTCTTACGGAAGTTACAGCAGAAAGGGTCTCTTTTGAGATTTTAGGACCTAAACAGTGACAGAGAGGGAAACTTAGGAATATTTAGAAATTAACTAAGAAGCTGCCAGTGAATATGCTTAGTATGCCTTGTGTTATGGAAGTTTCCAAAGACTACAGCTACTTTGTCAAAAAGCTTCCTTTGCTTTTGAACTTGCAAACCTACCCATTTTTATTTGTGCAGCTTACATTTCTAATGGAAAACTTTACAGTTCATCAGTAAGTTTAGTTTGCTGTGGTGATTTCTTTTTAAGTTAAAAAGTGAAACATGTCAATTTCACAGATATTTCAAAGCAGCACATCAAAAATTCAGGCTGCAATAAACTTGGCTACTTACTGCCTTTTTACTTCCAGAAATAATACAATCAGTGATTATACTTGTCTAAAGTACCAAGGTGATTTTTAAAAAAAGTCTTCCATCTGCTTTTCCCATCAGTTTGTGAAATTGACTTTATTTTTCATTAGGGGCATGTCTTTAAAACTACAGAAAATTTGAATGTGTTCTTTAAAATTTCCCTACTAGGTAGAGTTCTCTCTGTTGATAAGTTTGGCTGCTGAATTGGTTGAGATCTCAGGATGAAAAATAAGTTTCTGTTTTCTGTGTGTTTTTTTTTTCATCTGACATATTAAAGTATGTATCATATAACATATTCCAGGGGCACTATATTTAAAACCTGCATTACTGGGGTCAGCACTGTGGCAAGGTGGGTAACCTGCCACCTACAATGATAGCATCTATTATGGGCGCCGATTTGAGTCCGGCTGCTTCACTTCCTATCCAGCTCCCTGCTAATGTGCCTGGGAAAGTGGCGGAGGATGAATCAAGTGCTTAGGCTCCTGCACCCACGTGGGAGACCAGGAAGAAGATCTTGGCTCCTGGCTTTGGCCTGGCTCAGTCCTGGTTGTTGGAACCATTTGGGAAGAGGATCAGTAGATGGAAGATCTCTCTCTCTCTCTCTCTCTTTCTGCCTCTGTTTTTCTGTAACTCTGCTTTTCAAAGAAATAGTCTTTTAAAACTTAAATAAACCTGCAATTCTTTTATATGCTAACTTCAAGAATTTAGATTTCAGTTTTAAATGCATTTTTATGGTTTATTTGCTTCTATATGTCATTTTTAGGGAAAAATCAGATTTAGAAAATGGGTGAGGAAATTAGAAACCATCAAAAATGGTAGTCATTTTTTTAACTAACAAATGATATTGATTGGTATAGCTGTATTTATATTTGGCTTATCTCTGCTTGGCATTACCTAGTATAGCCTAATGGATGTTAATTGTAGCCCTTCAGGCACTATTAGAAAATTGAGCTGTTTACAGTCTAACATCATACCTGTGAGTAATAATATTACTATGATAATAAAGAATGGAAAAGCTGTTATGGACCTAGATTTTGTATCAGTATCTTGACCAAGTTGATTTAATTATTTTGAGAAGAGCATTAATACCCGTTTCCTTTAGCCAAAAAATAAACATAAATTCTATCAGTAATCTCCTCCCCAGAATAGTACAATATCAACCGAAGTCTAAATCATATCCTCTAAAACTTTAATAGCTTAATGTTTTTTTATTTTTTTAAGATTTATTTATTTATTTGAAAGTCAGAGTTACACAGAGGAGAGGCAGAGAGAGAGAGAGAGAGAGAGAGATCTTCCATCCACTGGTTCACTCCTCATGTGGCCGTATCCTCCAGAGCTGAGGCAATCTGAAGCCAGGAGCTTTAATGTATTTTAATAGCAAGCTTACAGGAGCAGCGCAGAAGACAACATTAAAAACATGTATGACAAACAACTCAATTAGAAAGTATACTGAACGGATGGAATCTACTGATGATACAAATGCTATAAACACCATTTACTTGCTGTCAATAAGAAAATTACTTGTTTTTGGCCGGCGCCGCGGCTCACTAGGCTAATCCTCCGCCTAGCGGCGCCGGCACACCGGGTTCTAGTCCCGGTCGGGGCGCCGGATTCTGTCCCGGTTGCCCCTCTTCCAGGCCAGCCCTCTGCTGTGGCCAGGGAGTGCAGCGGAGGATGGCCCAGGTGCTTGGGCCCTGCACCCCATGGGAGACCAGGAAAAGCACCTGGCTCCTGGCTCCTGCCATCGGATCAGCGCGGTGCGCCGGCCGTAGCCCGCCGGCCGCGGCGGCCATTGGAGGGTGAACCAACGGCAAAGGAAGACCTTTCTCTCTGTCTGTCTCTCTCACTGTCCACTCTGCCTGTCCAAAAAAAAAAAAAACAAAACAAAACAAAAAAAAAATTACTTGTTTTTAAAAAATCCAAATGCTGGTATTGTCCAGAAAAATTTAACAGGATTATTTATAATTGTTATAAAGTTAAACTGCTGAAACTTGTTCACTGAAACATTTTGGCTTGCATTAATGCTTTACAACCCTTTATTTATATTAAAAATCTACACACAAATTAAAATGGAAAAACTGCCAATACCTGATTTCTGTCCCCTATTTTTCCACTCGCAGTCATATACTTAGATACCTTTTGACTGCATGGGAAAAAAATATCTGTCATTCAGAACTACTAATAACAGCAAGAAGAAAAAGATGTTTTTGAGAATGAAATGTTTCCTGTCATAGTGGATTCTTAAGCACATTCTCCACGTATGTGGTGTGCTAGCAGGGTCTCTTTCGGGATAATTGTTGCACGTTTGGCATGGATAGCACACAGGTTGATGTCTTCAAAAAGGCCAACCAGATAGGCCTCACTTGCCTCCTGCAAAGCGCCAGTAGCTGCACTCTGGAAGCACAGATCTGTTTTGAAGTCCTGAGCAATCTCTTGCACCAGACGGTGGGAGGGGAGTTTGCACATCAGAAGCTCAGTGGACTTCTGATAACTTCTAATTTCACCAAGTGCCTCAGTGCCAGGCCTGTAACAGCGAGTTTTCTTCGCCCTCCAGTAGAGGGCGCACTCTTTCGAGCGGCTTATGTGGCCAGTTGCTTCCTGGGTGCTTTTCCCCAGTGATTTGGGAGCAGTCTGCTTTGTTTGAGCCCTGGCTTCAAGACCTCCTTACTTACCTCCCTTCTCCTCCAGCTGGAGTCCAGTGAGCCAGAGGTGGTGCTGGCATTAGGGAATGACAGTGGCGGCGTAGGCAGCGGCTATGAACACAGATCCTCTGAAACTTTAAATAATAGAGTTTGCATTTCTTCAAATCTCTGAATTTTAATAAATAAAAATGACTGCCCTTCAGTATGGTGTTGGGGCCAGTTTCAAGAAAAGCCCTGGTGCTCACAGATCTTTTTTCTCTGAGAGCCAGCTTCTATGGAGAAGGGCAGTGCCCTTGGCCAGAATGCTTTGCAAGTAAGTACATAGTTTCTCAAAAATGTTTCATCAAAGTTGCCTTCCAAATTAAGGCCTCCATATACTTCAGCAAGGTCACATATTATCTAATGATATTCTTAAAGTGTATGGTTGAACACAGTATTGTGCCTTCTGAATGTTACCTGCAGGATTTACAGTACCTCACTGGTATCTTCTGATTTTTTTTTTAATCATGTAGCATGTTTTATTTTTAAAGGGCCACTGTTTTAATAGATCTCTCTCAGGAAACCTCCAGCACCTGCTCTTACTCAGCTCTGCTAGCCATAGGAGGAAAAGGCCTTGAGGCTGGTCCTGCTGCTGACAGAAGGCTGGGGCTCTAGGGGAGAGTACTGGCACCAGCAGCACAAGCTAATGAAAATTGGTATCATGGGCCCAGTGCTGTGGCGCAGTGAGTTAAAGTCCTGGCCTGCAGCACCGGCATCGCATGTGGGCGCTGGTTCAAGTACTGGCTGCTCCTCTTCTGATCCAGCTCACTGCTGTGGCCTGGGAAAGCAGAAGAAAATGGCCTAAGTGTTTGGGCCACTGCACCCATGTGGGAGACCCAGAAGAATCTTCTGGCTCCTGTTTTCAGATTGGCTCAGCTCCAGCAGTTGCAGCCATTTGGGGAATGAACCAGCAAAGGAAAGTCCTTTCTCACTGTCTCTCCCTGTCTCTGTAACTCTACCTCTCATATAAAATCTTTTTAAAAAAATCTTTTAAAATCTATAAAAAAAGGCCGGCACCGTGGCTCACTAGGCTAATCCTCCGCCTTGCGGCGCCGGCACACTGGGTCCTAGTCCTGGTTGGGGCGCCGGATTCTGTCCCGGTTGCCCCTCTTCCAGGCCAGCTCTCTGCTGTGGCCAGGGAGTGCAGTGGAGGATGGCCCAAGTGCTTGGGCCCTGCACCCCATGGGAGACCAGGATAAGTACCTGGTTCCTGCCATCGGATCAGCGTGGTGCGCCGGCCGCAGTGCGCCGGGCGCGGCAGCCATTGGAGGGTGAACCAACGGCAAAGGAAGGCCTTTCTCTCTCTCTCTCTCTCTCTCTCTCTCTCACTGTCCACTCTGCCTGTCAAGAAAAAAAAATCTATAAAAAAAAGGTAAATCACAAACTACACATTTGCATTTGTCCTTCATAAAAAAAAAGACTGATGCTGTGGCATGGTGTGTAGTGCTGCTACCTTTAATACCAGCATCCCATATTGTCACTGGTTCAAAACCCAGCTGCTCCACTTCTGATCCAGTTCCCTGCTAATGTGCCTGGGGAAGCAGCTAAAGATGGTCCAAGTGCTTGGGCCCCTTCACCCACTTGGGAGACCTGGAAGAACCTCCAGGCTCCTGATTTCGGTCTGGCACAGCCCCAGCTGTTGCGGCCATCTGGGGAATGAGCCAGTGGATGGAAGCTCTCTCTGCCTCTCCCTCCCTCCAACTCTGCCTTTCAAATAAATAAAAATGTATCTTAAAAAAAAAAAAGTACCACTAGGTACTCTCAGTGTGATTTTTTTATTGATTTCCATTTCACAGGACTTCAGCATAGTTTGGTAAGATTTAAACTGATTAAGAAACGTCAAGCCAGTGGTATGAAGTCTATAAAAGAATTGTTGTAATTTACCATGCTCTGAGTTATGCAGTTTTCTGTTCAACGTTCTGCTTTATACAGTCGTGTTTTTGTCTTCCAGGAGAAAACTTTGCAGAATTCAGATCTTCAGGGGCTGATGATGGGTTCACCGATTTTAAAACAGCCGACAGTGTGTCACCACTAGAGCCACCAACAAGAGACAAGGCTTTCCCAGCAGCCTTCCCCACGGGAGCTATCCCGCAGAAGCAGCAAACTCAAGTGAAAACCCCTCTGAACTTAGCAGACCTAGACATGTTTTCCTCGGTTAATTGCAGCAGCGAGAATCCGTTGTCTTTTTCAGCTGCCTTTAGCGCATCAAAATCCGTTTCGGCACGACCACAGCCAGCAGGTTCTGCTGCAGCTACAACGGCGTTGGCATCAACTAAAACTTCTAGCTTGGCTGATGATTTTGGAGAATTCAACCTTTTTGGGGAATATTCTAGTCCAGCATCTGTTGGCGAGCAGGATGACTTTGCAGATTTTATGGCTTTCGGTAATAGCTCGATTTCATCGGAGCGGAAGGCAGAGGACAAATACGATGCCCTGAAGGAGGAAGCCAGTCCGGCTTCCCTAACCAGCAACTCAGGCAGCACCATCAAGGGTGGGCAGAGCTCAGCTCCTGCGTCTACCAAGTACGATGTCTTCAAACAGCTCTCTCTAGAAGGATCCGGCCTGGGTGTCGATGAACTGAAAGATAACACTCCTTCAGGAAGGAGTGACGATGATTTTGCTGACTTCCACTCCAGTAAATTTTCTTCCATGAACTCGGACAAATCCCTCGGAGAGAAAGCAGTGGCTTTCAGACACACCAAAGAGGATTCTGCGTCGGTGAAGTCCTTGGATCTCCCATCCATTGGTGGCAGCAGTGTTGGCAAGGAGGACTCTGAAGATGCGCTGTCTGTTCAATTTGACATGAAACTGGCTGATGTAGGAGGAGATCTTAAGCATGTCATGTCTGATAGCTCTTTGGATTTACCCACAGTTAGTGGCCAGCATCCTCCTGCTGCAGGTGAGGAATTGGTGCGATTGCTCTGGTGATGCTGATGGAGAGTTCAGACATTGTTCGGTGGGTGTGGCTCTGCATAAGAAAGGGGCTCTGGCCTGTTAGCTTTACAAATTTCTCAGAATTAGCCAGTCTCCTTAAAGCAGTGCTAAATTGGATTCTGTGGCTACCCAGCTAGATAGATTCCATGGAGATACTACTATGGAATTCAGATTGGATGGCTGATATTTTTATTTCTGAAGTCCAGCACCAACTTGGTGTTAGAGGCACGTAAGAACCCACTGTTAAATTAACCCTACATTGCCAGACATCTTAGAAAGACTTGCAGAGTCAGCAGTGTTGCTTCATTTCTGCGAGTGGAATCAGTGTTTCTCCTTTTTTCTTCCCATGGATATATTTAGCAGCTGCCAATATGGTATTCTATTTCGTTTACAGAAACCAAGTCTTGATAAGCCAAGAAAGTAGAAATGTTTAAGCAGTTGCCCCGCAGTTTGCCAATACCTCCGAGAGCAGAAGAGGGAAAAGCCAATGAGAGGCGTCCTGAGTCAGGATCTGCAGGACAGAGGCCCTCTGCGGCAGCAGGCCCCGGGCACACTGTGTTCAGTGTTAACTCTCTTCCTGGAAGTAGGAAGTTTTGAGAAATCTGTAGATGCTAGGATAAGGGTGAGGACTAACTTCCTGATGAGATGTTAGCCAGCATCTTATGAGGGAGCCCTCTTTAAATTCTGTGTGGGTATACGCGTAGCAGTTTGTTCTCTAGTCCAGCTTCCTGTCATAAAAACTAGATTCCCAAGTGTCCTAGTTTTTGTTTTGTTTTTGATATGTATATAGAAAGATAAACCTATTTTGTGGCCTTTAATAATGAAGACTATCTCAGTATTACTGTATTATTCTGGGAAACGTATCATGCATATGAAGGTTGGTTTTTTTTTTTTTAACTCAAGGGACACGTAAGACACTTTGAAGTTTACAGGTTCAGACAGAAATTATAAAATACTTTTGCATATATCAAATTGGTAAATCAGAAGACAATTGCATGCATTATTTATTTATTTAAAGATTTATTTGTTTGAAAGGTAGAGAGGAAGAGACAGAGAGGGATCTTCCATCCACTGGTTCACTCCTCTGATGGCTGCAATGGCCAGGGCTGGGCCAGGCCATAGCTAGGATCCTGGAACTCCATCTGGGTCTCTTATATGAGTGCAGGAGCCCAAGCACTTTGGTCATCTTCCACTGCTTTCCCAGGAGCATTAGCAAGGAGCTAGATCAGAAGTGGAGCAGCTAGGACTCAAACTGACACTCATAATAGGATGCTGATGTCGCAGGTGGCGGCTTAAACCACTTTACCACAATGCTGGCCTGTGCGCATCCTTTAGTTATTAATGTTAGCAGAATTGTTGAACAGGCTGCTGAATTAGGAGCAAGCCAGTAGATGCACCTGTTTCATGCTGCTACTTGCTAAGAGATATTCTAAGCACAGAGGGCTGTCTGGAGAACTCCTCATGCCCTTGACTGTCTACTTTCTCTTTTTCTTCACTTTTCCTCAAAAATGTTTATATATTTGGCATTGCTGTTTGCTCGATAAAGTGGTTTTGGTTTTCTTTTTTGGATGGACTGCTTGAGCCACAGTAGTTGATTGCAAAGTGCTCTGTTTTCTGAACAATATTCAATTTTTATTTAAAAATCTCATAACATGTATACTAGCCTTTTAGACTCTGAAGTTATTAGAAGCTATTTTTCTGAAAATGAATCTATATTCTTTCACAGTGCCAAACTAGATGTCTGTATGAGATAAGTCTAATCCGGGTTGTGGGGGATGTTAGGGGGTATCTTTTTCTTTCTTTCTTTCTTTTCTTTTCTTTTCTTTTTTTTTTTTTTTTTGTTTCTTGCATTTTATTTGGGGAGGGGAGGTTGATTTTTTTTTTTTTTTTTTGACTGATCTTGTTCAGATTGACCTGTTAAATAATCTATGCTCATGTTCTTCGACGTATGTTTGCAACATTCCTAGCTTGGAACCTGTAATGTTCAAGCCACTCTCTTCAGCAGGAGGCTGTTCCTAACAGCAGACTGTTGCTCCCAGTGATCTGTAACCCTCTGTCATAAAGGAGCAGTATCCCCTTAGAGCGGTTGTTAAAGGGGTTGGCGTGGGACCCGTGAGCTAGCCAGTGTTACAGACGTCTAACGGTGTTAGACACGCGCAGTGGCAGGGACCTCTTCGGTGCAACCTGGTTTTATTTTAGCCTCCTGTTCACCACAGTATTTCTTGCTTTCCTGGTGTGAGGGTTAAAGGTACATCTTGTTGGAGAAATAAGAAAGAGCTGTCTGTTGACCTTAGTCCTATTTAGAAACCCTAACTTAACTCTAAAGGGGATACTGTCTCTTTTAACTCTTGCTGTAATTCTTTGTATGGAAGGTAGATAATACTAATAACGTTGCCTGATTTCTCTGCATATTACTACATTTAACCCTTTGAGCCCTTGCTGCATATAATTTCAACAAGGCTGCTTTCCCCCCCTCTATATTTTACCTGTATGGCACTGAGGCTTCTCTGTGCACAGTCATGAAGATCCTCTGGTTTTGTTGGCAGCAAGAGCGTTCGCTCTTTTGTGACATTCTCAAAGGGTTAGAAAGACTTCTGTAGCTCCCTGCCTACTTGTACAGTAGCTCTTCTTTGACATTGAAATTATTTGTATTTTAATCAGCGCCTTTTGGGGGCTGCTTTTCTGATGTCTTTTTTTTTTTCCACCATTGACACTTTCTCTGTGAGTGTGCCTTTTCAAACTTGCTTTCGTATAACCCTGCGCAAACACTGATCTGCATGCTCACTGGTGACTCCCCCCCCCCCAGCTCTCTGTACCACTCTCTTTTGTGATCTGTAAGTCCTGTGTTAATAAATAATTCTTTGGCAGATTTTCAAAGTGTGGGGATGTGTGTAATTTGTACTTTTTCAGGGTTAGACCAAAAGACCAAAGAAATTCTTGGCTGGTGTCAAGTTGAAAGCAGTAGTTCCTTTTGAGACTAGATGGTTCCTGCCCTTTGTTTGTTTTGTCTCCTCAAATACCTGTCTCCTAAGACAATCTTGGTACATTTTATTCTTTTCCCCTTAGAATTCACTGCTATGTTTTTAATGTGGCATGAGATTAAAATCTAACTTTACATTTTGCTTTATTTATTTGAGAGGCAGATAGAGACACAATGCTCCCGGCTGCAGGTTCACTACCCCAGATGCCTCCAACAGCTGAGGCTGGAGCCAGGGAACCTGGAACTCAATCCAGGTCTCCCATGGGGGTGCAGGGGCTCAGCTACTTGAACCATCACCTGCTGCCTCTCAAGGGGCACATTAGCAGGAAACTGATCATGGGAGCCAGGCCAGGACTCAAACCCAAACACCAGCAGGAGAGAGAGCAAGCACTGTCTTAACCACTAGGCCAGACACCTTCCCTTAACTTTAAATAATTTCTTTTAAAGTATAAGCCTTAATACTACCTCATATAACAGAAAAAATATGCAGAGAGTGGCTTTTATTGTAGAGAGGTGTCTGTACTAGGAGTTGACCTGTGATGAAGAGCGGCAAGGTGAGGAAGAGCAGCAGAGAGTGGGGGGTGAGCAAGGAGGGACAGAGAGCCGAGGTATCCAGTTAGGAACTGACATCACCACGTGGTGGTAAGGATTTGTGTGCCCAAGAAGTGCCAGGTAGTGTGTGTGATGGGAAGTGTTGAGTGTTAGTACCGGGGGTCTTCAGGACTGAGGTAGACCTGAGACCGCAGTTAGACGCTGCACTCTTAACCTGCTACGCCACAGCGCCAGCCCCAGGGCCACACTCTAACTGCAGAGCAAGCACCCTTCCCGCTTCAGGACCTGTGAGGATGTGGCCCTGTGTCCTCTTGCAAGTTCTTAAAACAGCTTTAGGGAATGCACATTGTTTTGTGTTTTTAAAAGATATATTTATTTGAAAGGCAGAGTTAGGGAGAGACATAGAGAGTGGGAGAGGTCTTGGCATCCCCTGGTTCACTCTCCAAATGGCTGCAACAGCCGGGACTGGGCCAAAGCTGAAGCCAGGAGCCAGGAACTCCATCCAGGTCTCCCACATGGGTGCAGGGGCCCAAGCACTTGGACCATCTTCAGCTGCTTTTCCAGGTGCACTATCAATGAGCTAGACTGGAAGTGGAGCAGCTGGAACTCAAACTGTTGCCCATATGGGATGCTGGTGTTACAGGTGGCAGCTTAACCTGCTGTGCCACATTGCCAGCTCCTGGACTCACTGTTTTAAGAAAAAATTTAGAAGGCCCAAAGAAAGTTAGTGGTAAGAGTAAAACAAACTTGGAAAATATGTCCCCGATTTTAGAATATAATAATAATGAAAAGTATAGCAGGTTAAGCTGCCCCTTGAAACAGGTGCATCTCCATATCAGAGTGCTTGCTTTTTTTTGTCCTGACTACTCTGTACTGTCAGTCTGGCTTCCAGCTCATGTGCCTGGGAGGTAGCAGATGAGGACCCAAGTACTTGAGTTCTTGCCATCCACGTGGGAGACCTAGCTATTGTGGTCATTTGGGAGATGATCTCTGTCTCTCCCTGTCACCCTACCTTTCAAACAAATCTTTTTTCTTTTAAAAGAATATAACTGAGCTCATGGATAAATGCAAGGTAGAATAATAGGGTCTAAGGTAGAACAGGGTCAAGGTTGGAGAGAAAATGAAATGTACAAATAGTTTGTGTTTGCTTTGGTAAAAGAAGACTGCATTAGATCAATATTGGAAGGTTTTTTTTTTTTTTTTTTTTTTTTTTTTTTTTTTAAGATTTAATTTATTTGAAAGAGATACAGAGAGAGGTAAAGACAGAGAGAGAGGTCTTCCATCTGCTGGTTCACTCCCCAGATGGCCACAACAGCAGGAGCTGCGCTGATCTGAAGCCAGGAACCAGGAGCTTCTTCCGGGTCTCCCACATGGATGCAGAGGCCCAAGGACTTGGGCCATCTTCTACTGCTATCCCAGGCCATAGCAAAGAGCTAGATCAGAAGAGAAGCAGCCGGGGCTAGAACCGGTGCCCATATGGGATGCCAGCGCTGCAGGCTAAGGCTTTAACCTGCTGCACCACAGCGCTGGCCCCAGTATTGGAAGTTAAAAGATGTGTCTTCCCTAGTCCAGTGAATATTTGAATTGCTATATAAAACACTTGAGAATAGTGAAATTTGCACATCTGTCTCCTTCTGACTCCAAACTCCTTTCTCAGAAACCTGCAGAACTCTTAATCACCTGGCCACATGCTTGCAGCTGTAGAGCCAGGCCACAGGAATGGATCTGGCCTTCTGTGTTTTCATGTGCAGCAGCCATTCAAAAGGGAATTGAATAGAGGTTATGAAAGAGACTGATAGGGTTACTTGCCAGCACAAGCAAGAAATCCATGTCTTGCTTTGAGAACCATGATGAAAGCAGATTGGGTAGTTTATTCCTTTGGCCTCTGTAATAGGACATTCCTGGTTGCAAACAAATACATGTATTAAAGCACACAATTTGGCATATTATCTGTGTGCAATTTCAACTCTACCTGGCACAGCCCAGGAGTTCTCCAGCAGAATTGGAAATATAGCAGTGATTGCTCTGGTCATTTTGTTGCACAGATTTTCCATTTCTTTTTCCTTTACAATTTTAGAGTGCAGCTATCAAATTGAAAACTCATCTATAATAACTTCAGTGATTACAAAATAAAATCTAGGGTGTTCCACATCTTTTTTTCCACATAGGATTTCTGTCACTTATATTGTCAATCTAACATAATTTTTAATATTCTTAAGACTGTTACACAATAGTACTTGTAACTGCACTGCTTAGACAATGCAGAACTGTTAACATGGGGAATGAGGAATTTTCTTGCCTTAATCTACATTCATTAAACCTGTTATTTACCACATTTTTCTTAGAAAATGGTTTATAAATCAATAATAATCACACCAGGAAATACGATTCTATAGTCATACTGTTTATAAATGCTAAGTTGAGAGTTAAGTGTTACATAAGTGTTCTGTCTTTATGTAGTGTCAGTTTTAGTAGTTATGTATTCAAATTAATTTAGTGAATTTAGTGGCCAATGAATAAGAATAAATCTAAAATTCAATTTGAGGCTTGATAATAGTGAATCTTGTACATCTACTCTTTTTAAGTATAAACTATTTGATTTTAAGCCTTTCATTCAGTTTTTTAGTCTTTCATTTGGTCATTTCTGTGAGTCGTTCCAAAAGGCAAAGTGTTATATGCGTATCATTTTTAAAGAAAAATAAGATTTATTAAAGACCTGTATAGCTAGAAAAATGCTTAAAAGCTCTTCTACCAGGGTGATCACTTGTTGCTTAGAATGCTGTATACCTGAGGATGTTAGTCATTTCTAGTTGGAAGTTTTTTTCTAGTTGCATAAGCACTCACAAAAGTCTTTTTATTACCATAGCAACTTGGTTGCGATATTTGAACTGGAGCTGTTTTTTCATTAAATTTATCTTTGGTCTCTAGGAAAATTGCTACCCTTTAATAGATGAGATTCTGTCATTTCCCAAAAGAGCCTTTGGGGAGAGGCTAATAATAAGAATACCGGTATTAATGAAGCGTTCTCTGAATGTACTCTTTGAAGACGGGTGTTAGGTTTCAGCGTGTCTGCCTCCCAGTTGAACTTCACCTCATTTGAGTCTGGGCACCTTCTGATCCCTGGAGACGGTGGGAGGAAAGAGGACAGCAGGAGCAAGCAAGCATCCTGCCCGAGGCTTGTTTCCTTCAGTCTAAACCACACAGTTGTCACCGCAGTCTTTTTCCCCTTGTGTTTAATGAGCCACATACGAACGGTACCATTTGTACTACAAATGTAAAATACACCGGTATTCAGGTATTCTTAGAACTTCCAGATTTAACGTCTCCTGTGGCTCAGATCACTGGTAGGGCAAATAATCTGAATGTTTTCTGAAATGTCAAGACTGTTTGGGTTGCTTACTTCAAGGTCATTGCTATACAGGCAAGAAAGAGAGACAGAGAGAAAGGTCTTCCTTTGCCGTTGGTTCACCCTCCAATGGCCGCTGCGGCCGGCGCGCTGCGGCTGGCGCACCGCACTGATCTGAAGCCAGGAGCCAGGTGCTTATCCTGGTCTCCCATGGGGTGCAGGGCCCAAGCACCTGGGCCATCCTCCACTGCACTCCCTGGCCACAGCAGAGAGCTGGCCTGGAAGAGGAGCAACCGGGAAAGAATCCGGCGCCCCTACCAGGACTAGAACCCAGTGTGCTGGCGCCGCAGGTGGAGGATTGGCCTAGTGAGCCGCGGTGCTGGCCTAGAGTGCCCTTTTCCTAGCCAAACTTAGAGAGAGACTTGGGTTTACTGTTAGAAGTCCTTTGGAGGAGCCAGCGCTGTGGCATGATGGGTAAAGCCACTGCCTGCAAGACCGGCATCCCATTTGGGTGCCAGTTCGAGTCCCAGCTGCTCCACTTCCAATCCAGCTCCCTGCTATGTATGGCCTGGGAAAAGCAGTGGAAGATGGCCCAAGCATTTGGGCCTCTTCCGCCCATGTATGTTGGAGACCCTGATGAAGCTCCTGGCTCCCGGCTTAGGCCTGACTCAGCACTGGCTGTTGCAGCCACCTAGGCAGGTGGAAGATTCCTGACTCCTTCTCCCTGTCTCTCCCTCTTTCCCTCTCTGGCTGTAATTCTGTGGAAATGTGAGGAGTCCCGGATACACATGCACCATGCGGTGTTGCTGCCAAACAACAGCAAGCATCCAGGTGGCTCACCTGTTGGCTTGGTGTTGAGAATGTAGGTCACAGAACCGAGGAGCATCGGCCTTGTGTCCGAGGGTCACGACCTCCCACACGGTGACCGAAGGGACTCCAAGTGCCTATCAGCCGCGCTACACCAGCCCCACCAGCTTTCCCCAGCCTCAGCTGGCTGTGCGTTTTGAAAGCAAGCGAGAAACGCTTCGCCTAGCAACACCACTGACCCGATGAGTGTACTTTTTCATTTCACTTTGAAAGAATTCTGTCCTGGGCCCTAATGTGGCCCCTCAATGTCAAGTGAAGGTGGTGACAGCCATTCTGAGCCAACACTGGCTGCGTCATGTCGCTCGCTGGGTCGCCTTCTGTGCACCTTACCACAGTTCACATCCACCTGAACTGTTCAGAAGTGTGAAATGATTGTCATAAGGTTGTACAGGCTGTAGGTGGTGGGGACAGGCTCAGGTCCAGCTACATAAAGGAGCCGATGTCTGTACCTGTGAAGTTATGTAAACCTGTTGGAAGGAGGCTTTGTGAAATGTCTGGGCCCCAGCATCTATTGTTCCCCCTCCTCACAGCCCCCTTTAAATGAGGCGGGGTACAGAGTTGAAAGAAAAACAGGAGCTAAGCAGGACCCAGCCCTTTGGTGCTTCCCTTAAGACCCAAAGTAGATTAGATTTTTTTCTTGGCTCCTACTCCATCACAACAGTATGACGTCCAAATTGACCAAAAATAACAACTAGGTAAGTAACTGCTTCGTTAAAATCTTGTATTTCTGAAACAGAAATTCCTAATAATTGGTGAAGACTTCAGAGACATTGTCACTTTAGTTTTGAGAGACTGTCAATCTTTAATCAGGTTGCTGTGTACATTCCATTTGGACAGGTTTTTTTTAATTTATTTATGTAAAGAGAACAGATTTCATGTATTTCCTATATGCAACTTTAAGCCCATAATACATCTCACCGTCCCTCCTCTTTCATTTCTTTTTTTTTTCCTTTTCATGACAACATATATTCAGGTTACTTTATAACCATAGGCTTGATCCTCCAATAAAGGTTTTACAGAAACGTTTTCTAACAAAGTTGAGACACAGACGTGTTTTAGGCAGCAGATAAATTAAACACATTTTAAATGATCAAGGAACAGACCATTTATTAAATGACTATAATCTTAGGTTAAACTGCACCTATTAGTAGATGAACTGCTTATCTTTTTTGGTTATTTAATATTCAAAGACAGTGATTCTTTGTGACTACATATGAATGCCAACTCAAGGCTAAATGGGGGTTTTCTAAAGATCAGATTTTTATAGTCCAACTTCTCCCATTTGGGGCCAAGTTCTAAATTTAAATGACTCCGGCATAGCCTAAAACTGATCAGATGTGCCAGGCGTTTTGCGTGACTCGTGAGCTTGCCTCTAATTGTGGGGTCTTATTTCCCTTTCAGATGTAGAGGACTTAAGATACGCTGCTTTTGGAAGCTACAGTAGCAATTTTGCAGTGAGCACACTCACAAGCTGTGACTGGTCAGACAGGGAGGATGCATCTCAGGGCAGAAAATTCTCTCCATTTGTCCTCTCAGCAGGAAGTGGGTCCTCGTCAGCCCCCTGCGTCCTGCAAAAGAAAGAGACTTCCTTTGGCAGCTCGGAGAATATCGCCATGACGTCTCTCTCCAAAGCAGCCGCCTTTCCCAGCGAAGGTGCTCTTCCTGACACCACCTTCCCAGCTTTCGCCAGTTTCCAAGACGCGATTCCTCAGGCCAGTGAGCAAAAGGACTATGAAAGCAGGGACTACAAAGATTTCACAAGACAGGACCTGCCCATGGCTGAACGTGGCCAAGAGCCCGCGTGTCTAAGCCCGGCTTCCAGCAGCGCCTCTTACGAAGCCCCCAAAGAATGTTCAGACGATTTTGGAGAGTTTCAAAGTGAAAAGCCCAAAATCAGCAAATTTGACTTTTTAGTAGCCACTTCACAAAGCAAAATGAAATCCAGCGAAGAAATGATCAAGAGTGAGCTGGCAACCTTCGACCTGTCTGTTCAAGGTGAGTCGCTTCAAGTAGGTTTTCCACTGATACGTTAGATGTTCCTTACCAAGAATGAAATGGGGCTTCCTAGCAGGAAATAGATTTTTCAACCTGTGAAATCGGGGTCAGTAAAAGAGAAACCATACTGACATTTTCCCTAAGACTGAGTGGAATCCAACTACTTGTAGACGAGACCCAAGCTTGGCACACAACTACCGTTGCGCTGCTTGTCTGGTTAGAGGTGTGCTATTTAAAACAGCCTGAGAAATGAATTTGATCCACTTGTGGGCAAGTCAGCTCTGCCTTTGGTCCCTGGCTCCAGACAGCACCTTTCATCCGCAGGCTGCCCTCTGGTGGTTGTGCACCTGCCTCCATCCTGCAGGTCTGTTTCGATTGACCCACTTAGAAGTTGGTTGTTTTTATTTTTTCTTGATGTGTGAAATAAAATCACAAGATGTCATGGTTTGGATTTCTAGTTTTTTCTCAAAAGTCATAACATCTGGCAGTAGGAGGCCAGCCAACAGGAGCTGAGTCAGAGCACCCCTACAGATTACAGATGGGCCCTGCTGTCTGGGTTTGCGTAGTCCCCTCTTCCTGTCTCCAGCTGAGCTGCTTCAGTCATTGACTTTACACAGGGTCTGCTTGACCCCATCCAGAGGGAAGGGGAAGGGGGTCTTTAGCTTCAGTTGGGTTGAGAGCATGTAGGCGCTGAGCAAGAAAGCCGCTGTTAGTGACTGGAGAAGCCACACAACTCCAGCGGGCTGGCGTTCACAGAGGCCCCTGTGTCCTCCAGGCTGTGGTGATTCTGCACTGAGAATTGTGGGAGAACGTAGCAGGGAAGCCAGGCGAGAGAGAAGGACGGAAAGGAGTCAGCATGTCGCTTCCCAGCCCGAGTGCCTGTGCCTTTCCGTGTGCCCCTGGGCCTGCGCTGGTAAGGAAGGGGCTGTCTTGGCCAAGAAGCCCCGAGTCTCACCCATGCCTCTACCTCTCCAGGATCACACAAGAGGAGTTTGAGCCTCGGCGACAAGGAAATCAGCCGCTCCTCCCCGTCTCCGGCCCCAGAGCAGCCTTTCCGAGACCGCTCCAACACACTGAGTGAGAAGCCGGCTCTGCCCGTCATCAGGGACAAGTACAAGGACCTGACAGGCGAGGTGGAGGTGAGCTGCTTCCATGTGCGGACTGAGAGCTTCGCCAGGGGCGAGTGAGGGGCAGAAAGGCCCAGGGCACCCAGCTGGAATGGCCCACCGCGGTGATAGCGCGGGCCCTGGCTGAGGAGAATCGCAGGCACGGCGGTTAGTGACCCTAAGTGTGAGATTCTTCATGCAGATTCAGCAGAAGGGAAGCACTGGGGAAACGCTCCGTGAGCACTTAGTCCTCGTCATCTTTGTAAGTGTGCGGACCTCTAAAGGCCGGGGGGTGCCAGCATCCCCTGTGAGCTCCGCTTCCAGTCCAGCTCCTGCTACTGTGCTTGGGAAAGCAAGACAGCCCAAGTGCTGGGGCCCCTGCACCCCCATGGGAGACCCGGAAGAGCCTGCTGGTCCAGCCCTGGCTGTTGCAGCCATCTGGGAAGTGAACCAGCAGGTGGAAAATCTCTCAGTCTCCATCTCCCTCTTTCCCCCTCTCCCCTCTCCCTTCTTTCCCCCTCTCTCCTCTCCCCTCTCCCTTCTCTCCACTCTCCACTCCCCTCCCCTCCCCTCTCCATTCCCTTCCCCCTCCTGCTTCTCTGTCCTCCTCCCCCTCCTTCCTCCTGTCTCCCCCTCCCTTTGCCTCTCCCTGTCCCTCTCCCTCTCTCTTTCCCTCTGTCTCTGTTTCTTCCTCTGTAACTCTTTCAAAAGAAAAAAAAAAAAAGCCCAGGGAAGAATGTACATCTGACCATTTCCATTGCTGCAGCTCCCCCCCTCCCGCTGTCTCACCCCTGTATGCAGCAGGCCTAACTGTCCACTCCCCACTCCTGCTTCCCACACACGCACACAGCCTGATGGGAGAGGTGTTGGTGAGGATCTTGCTTGAAGGAAGGCTTAGTGCCGTTATCGCCTCCACAGGTGCAGGAACGTTTCCGGCAGGAAGCTGCTTTTGAACATTTCCCTCGGGCTCCCAGACTCCGTGCTCAGGAGTTAGATGTATTAGTAATCGCACATAACCATTAGAGCTCGGAAAGATGAACTGCTTGCGCTAGAGTTGTTTTAATGACAGGGAAAGGCTGCTGGGCTCTTCGAGTTGACAGAAGTCATAGAGACGGGATTCTAGGCTTGCCTGTGTAACCCAGTTGTTTTTGTAAAACCCACAGGAAAATGAGAGGTACGCGTACGAGTGGCAGCGATGCCTGGGCAGTGCCCTGGACGTGAGTATGTCACTTCTGCGTTGCTACCTCTCAAGGCCTTCCCCCTGTGGCTCCCGCTTCTCCTGGGATCTTAGTGGATCTTAGTGGGCAGTGAAGCTTGATGCAGGCCTGACTTCCATGGCCTTGTGCACGGGGAAACTCTGTCTGGACAGCCAGGTACCTTCAGTGAGGCTTCCCTCCCACTTAGACCAACACTGGCTCATTTGTCAGTGGTGCCCGCTTCTGTCACCATGTTTATAAGCTATGTCTCACCCCTGTCTTAGTCACAGAGATAGTTAAACTAGAGAGCCTCTGTCTTCTCTCTCCTAGAGAACTGGAGGATTGGTTCTTTAGGTTAAAGTTGAATCATCAGGTCTGTTTCAGCATAGTGTCTGTCTCTCTCTCTCTCTCTCTCTCTCACACACACACACACACCTACCTCAGCCAGCTAGCCTTACCTGTGAAGCCCAGCTTTTCAGCTGGGTTGTCTGACAGTAGATCAATTTGCCATGACTTTCCCCGGTTATATAAGGTGATGTGATTTCCTTTCTTGTAGGTCATTAAGAAGGCAAATGATACCTTAAATGGAATCAGTAGTAGTTCGGTTTGCACAGAAGTAATTCAGTCGGCTCAAGGCATGGAATATTTATTAGGTACGTTCTTTTATATCTTACTTACTCGAAACCATCGGACTTTGTGTTCTTTTCCTTTCTCCCTCACGTTAAGTATGCTAAGCTAGATCTCTCAAGCTGCATAGGACTTCACTAAGTAACATCTGCATTTGTAGCTGGATCCTCAAGTCCCAGGCAGCAATGTTTGGCTTGAGTTATCTGTGGCTAAGATGCCCAGTCCTTGTATACGTAGTAGTAGCAGTGTACAGTTATACCGGTATGACTGGCTTATGGAAAATTCTGAACTAGTGAGGCAGTAAAATGAAACTGTTGGGTCTCCAATCAGTGCCCCCTGCTCTGTGGATTATTCCTCTGCACCCCTCGTGACATCGCAGACCCCTTTGCTTCCCCGCCACTTTGAGTGACTAAACATCACAGTTCAACTTGAAATCTCAGTCTGCGTCCAGTCGGCGTCCCTCCCTGCCCCTCCCCACCCCCAGCTAAACTCAGGCTTTCATGTGACCAGAGCCTCGCGCACTGCACCCTGATCTTGTCCAGGTCTTTACTCAAATATCACCTCCTGAGTGCCGTCTTCCCTGGCTGCTCTTTCTCATAGTATTCCCTCTCCCGTGCCCCATCTCGGTTGTTTTTTCTCCTTCGTCCAGACACCTTTAATAGCTCCCATTTCTACTTGTTCTTATATTCACTGTCCATCTTCCTCTGCTAGCAGGACCCTCCAGGAAGGCATGGCCTATCTTCTGGTTTGTTCACTTCTGTGCCCTAACACCTAGTCTAGTGCCCGGCACATAGTGGGCATTCAGGAAAATGTGCTGGGAGAGTGGCTAGTGAGAGCATGTGGTCTCTGCTTTACCCTGCCACCTTAGCTCAGTTTTACTGCATCAGTAGGTGTCCATCAGGAAAGGGAAGCCTGGCTTTTTCCCTGATACCTACTAAAGATTCTCTTAGGTGCCCCATCATGTGCCTTAAGATGGGTAAAACCTGCCCTTCACTGGTGCTGTCCACGAAGCTTGCAGGCGCCCTTAACTGCTCCAGGATTCACTCATGCAGGCTGGGGGCCCCGCTTCTGACTGTCGTGTTACACGGGCAGGGGCTGTTAGCAAAATGTGAGGGTACTGGGCACCTCTCCCCCTCGCCTGAAGTCAGCCACAGTGCAGCGACCACAGAACAACAGCCGTTCCGCACCGTGTGCTGTGTGTAAATGGCGCGAGAGGCCTGGGGGATTCAGGGAGGTGAGAGATGACTTTGTGATGATATTAACACTTAGACTGTTTAGACTACCTTTACGATTCCCACTTTCAGCCAGTTTATTGGAATTTCCCAGATTCAAATATATGGCCTCATAAAGAGCCCTAAAAAAAGCTAATTAAGTTGCTTTAACTGTTCTCTGGACACTGCTCTAAGCCTTGTATAATACTCACTCATGTAATCCTCTCACCGGCTTTTGGGGCAGTCTCACACACGAGCAGACTGAGGTGCAGAGAACTTAGATGTCCTGCTCCGTCCAAGATTACAGAGCAAGGAAGGGGCCGGGCCGGGATGGGAACTCAAGCAGTGTAGTTCCAGAGTCTGAGCGGGTCCCACAGCATGGCGTGCGCCCCTCTGTCCACACACTTGGCATAGGTCCCCCGTGATCATCAGCGAGCAGCAGACCTACTGCGTCTCCCTCATCCCTTTCTGCTCTCTCCGTCGGCCAGGTGTGGTTGAAGTGTACAGAGTAACCAAGCGTGTGGAGCTGGGGATCAAGGCCACAGCAGTGTGTAGTGAGAACCTCCAGCAGCTGCTGAAGGACATCGACAGAGTGTGGAACAACCTCATTGGCTTCATGTCCCTCGCCACGCTCACGGTAAGCCCATTACACCGTCACTCTGCTTTCCAGAAACCTAGGCTGTAAAGCAGCGTGTGTGTGCCGATGAAGAGGATAGAGGTGGCCACTGGGTCGCAGTGTGTTATAGGAGGGCAGGGACGTGGGCAGTTAGTTGAACAGTAGCACATGGGCTTCTGGATAGTTCCAAGGCCTGTTTCACCTAAATAAAGTACGAGGATAGGAACACTCACTCCGTCTACATCTTTCTTACTTCATAAACCCAGGTGAGAACTTTGCTCCCTTTTGTGCTTCTGGTTAGTATTTATGTCCCTGTGTGTGTTCTAAAAAGTTACATGACGGATCATGTTGGTAGCCTTTTTTATGTTTGGAGGTTATTTTTATTTTTCCTGTTGGGAACAGTTCTAATCTGAGTAAACAACTCTTGCCACCTTTTGGGATGTAGTATCTGGAAGTGTGCCTGGGAGGACAGAGCGCACATTTGCACAAGTGCACGCCTGCAGAAGTAGCCATTGTCACTTTTATCAGGTGGCTGTCCCCGACGGCATGGACCAGTTGTCAGTGCTGCCAGCAGTATTTAAATTCGCAGTTCTCTACCTTGTGTCTAGCTCTGCTTGTCCATTCTTTAACAAGTATGCAGTGACTTCCTAAGGTTGCTCCCTTTATTTTTCTTTCGTTTCCTGAGATGCTTTGCAGTGTTCCAAATGACAGTTTACTCTATTGCCTTGGTGTATAAACTGATCATCCTTGACTGTTTACTCAATGGAATATGGTTCCCGACCTTACATATTTCATCTGTGCAATACACGTCTATGTATACACACACACACACATAAGGCTAGTAAACTTTTTTCTCTTGTTACATCACTTTTTTACATTTTATTGGGCAAGCTATTATTATTATATTTTTAAGTATTCATACCTGTTCAGTTTTTCTCTGATGATGTCCGTTCTTTGACAGTGGTCAGACATTTATGTTCCCTCCACGGAAGGAGTAAATATGCTTTTTTTTTTTTTTAACCTTTCACTGTGAGACCCACCTGCATGGGATTGCAGCTGTGCGCAATGAACGAATTCTCACTGCCCTACAGTGATAGCCAGGTGCATGCCCAGGCGTCCCAAAGACACATCTTACAGGCAGATCATCTCACCGCTGTTAGGGTCCTTCTGCTTTTCAATATTAAGTTTTTAAAGAGTTTAATTCCAAAATCTGTTTTTTTTTATCTTCAACCATTTTGAAATTTATAACCTAAAATCATACTGTTTAGGTAATTATTTAAATATGCTTCTGGCCAATATCATACAGAAATGGAATGTAAGTATTTGAAAAGATGAAAGTATGTTCATACTTTATATGGTGCTAAGAAATTTCTGTAGAAAACTAAAATCAGTAGGCTTTATTTATTGAGTTTTGTAGAAGTTCATACATTTCTAGATAAAACATAACTATTAAATCAGCGCCTTATCACTTCTGAACTTCTGACTTCATAGCTAGGGTTACTGGTTCCTTTTTGTTTTGTTTTTGACAGGCAGAGTGGACAGTGAGAGAGAGAGACAGAGAGAAAGGTCTTCCTTTGCCGTTGGTTCACCCTCCAATGGCTGCCGCGGCCGGCGCACTGCGTTGATCCAATGGCAGGAGCCAGGTGCTTCTCCTGGTCTCCCATGGGGTGCAGGGCCCAAGGACTTGGGCCATCCTCCACTGCACTCCCTGGCCACAGCAGAGAGCTGGCCTGGAAGAGGGGCAACCGGGACAGAATCCGGCACCCCGACTGGGACTAGAACCCGGTGTGCCGGTGCCGCAGGCGGAGGATTAGCCTAGTGAGCTGCGGCGCCGGCCTGGTTCCTTTTCTAGTATCATTCGTTTGTACACCGCTATGCATTTCTTTCTCTCTCTCTCTTTTTTTTTTTTTTTTAAGATTTATTTATTTATTTGAAAGTCAGAGTTACACAGAGAAGGACAGCCTGAGAGAGAGAAGTCTTCCATCCACTGGTTCACTCCCCCGTTGGCTGCGCTGATCCGAAGCCAGGGGCCCAAGAACTTGGGCTGAGAGTTGGATTGGAAGTGGAGCAACCATATGGGATGCCGGCACAGTGGGCGGTGGCTTTACCCGCTATGCCACAGCGCCAGCCCCGAGAAAAGTCTTTCATCTACTGGTTCTCTCCCTAGGTGGCCATAATGGTCAGGGCTGGGCAAGCCAAAACCATGAGCCAGGAACTTCATTTGGGTCTCCCATGTGGGTGGCAGGCACCTAAACACTTGGGCTGTCTCTGCTGCTTTTCCCAGGCCATTAGCAGGGAGCCATTAGCAGAAGTGGAGCAACCAGGACTCGAACCAGTGCTCATGTGGGCCACAGGAATTGCATGCAGGGACTTGGACCCTATTCTCCACGTGGCCACTCTCCCAGGTCCAGGTCAGGCCAGAGCTCCAGGGGCCTCAGAAGATGAAAGTGGCCCACTGGGCCCTTTCCCGGCCCGACTCCTGGGCTTTCTCCCTGGGCACGGCTGTCCTGGTGGCAGGGAGCTGGACCGGGGGCTCCCAGGCTCTCGGGTCGCTGGGAGTTTGCCAGGGCCTTGGCCTTCTTATTCATGGATGGAGAGCTGAAGCTCCTCCTCTTCCTCGTGCCAGTACTGCCCTCCACGTGCTGCCTGTCATTAGGGGTCAGGAGGAGCTTGGTTGGAACTCAGAAACTGCATAGCCCAGGGTCTCCAGGGGCTGAGGAACCGCCTCTCTGGGAAGCCAGAGTCCGTTTGCGTGTTTATTATCCAGCTGCCTCATGCTGCCACAGCCCCAGCACAGGGCCTGGTGGGAGGGTGGCAGGTACCCGGTGCTTGAGGACAGTGCCCGTGTGCTGGGCCAGCAGCTGCTGGTCAGCCCCCTGGATAGACAACAGCAGCAGGGCCTGGCCAAGGAGCTGGAAAGAGCCCGCAGGAGACTTCAGCTGGTCTACACTGCAGCTGCCGAGCTGCCCAGGTGCTCCACCTGCCCCTCGGCCAGAGCCCCTCGCATGTGATGCAGGCGTGATGCAGATGCTTGGTTTGCCAGTGCAGGAGGAAGTCCTCGGGGCCACGTGACCGCAGGGGCAGCACCTGGGGCCGCAGGTGGGCGGCGAGGAGTTCCTGGGCGCTGAGCACGCAGCCCACGGGCACCTCCACGGTGGCGGGCTTGGGGGAGGGGTGCCTCCTCAGTAGTTTCTTAGGCTGGAAATGATACTGGCAAAGCTCATGCTGCCCTGTGCCTGTAGTGCTCCCCCCATTCGTGGTCTGAGACGCCCTCTGGTGGTGGCCGCCTGCCGCCTGGGCGCACAGCAGCCTGGTGCTGTCCAGAGGAAAACTCGTGCAGTGAGATGTGATGTGCTTGGATTGGCAAGTAGCTCCCTAAGTGCAGCATCACCTTGAGGGATCAGGTGGGTGAGGGTTGAAGTTCAGCAGATTTGAAACAAAGAAAGAAGGCAGTCCTGGAGAACAAAACTAAACCATGTTTGCCGTAGAAGATCTAAGAGAAAGGACACTTACTCTGCAGACCTGTAGTCCAGCGGAAATCACATCGGCTCTTTAATTCCATGTTCTCCTCCGTATAATACTCTCTAATCCTCTATGTGAAATAAGCAGCGGACTTCAAGATGTTTCTTCCTGTTGCTGTGAAATGTCAGAATAGTTTACTTTTCACGACAGCATTTTTTGTCCTCTTGTCAGTGTGTGCAGCGTTGTAGAGACAGTGTTGACTGCAGCCCTGTGTGGTTATCTTCAGGTAACAGTGGGGAACTGCCAGGCACAGAACAACGGCCTCCTGCAAGACGCCCTTGTCCGTGGGACCTCTGAGGGTGTCACTTACATGGAAGAAGGAACTCTGCATGTGGGATTAGGTCACGATGGTTTATTTGGGAAAATGATCCTGGATTATCCAGGTGCGCCCAGGATCATCTCCAGGATCCTTCCTCTTCTACGTGGAAGGCTGGAGGCTAAGAGAAAAAAGGTAGTGTGACCGCAGAAACAGAGAAAAAGAGGGAGGGAACGGCAGATGCCTTGACAAGGGGACCATGAGCAAGGGAGTGCACAGGCAGTGTGTAGGACCTAAGAGAGGCAAGGAAATAGATTCCTTCTAGAACTTCCAGAAGGAGCACAGCCCCACTGTTTCAGACTTCTGACCTCTTCAGGTACGGGAGGATACGTTTGTGGTGTTTTGAGCCATTGTGTTTGTGACTTGTTACACCAGTGCAAAGACAGCATTATACAAAACATGACCATGCCACTTCCAGAAGTCTAGAATGGTGGGTCCTGTTTCTCAATCACACCCTGTCAGTCGGATCAGGGGAGGTTGTGAGGCAGTGACCAGCAGTCCTGCCCCCAGCTGCAGCAGTAGACAACAACAGTGCTTTGCTTGTTGCTTGTGCTGGGTGTTCATCACAGGTTGGAGGGGCTCTGTGCTGTGTCCTTCTCAGGGACCTGGCTTAACAAGAGCCTTCACCACGTGGAACGTGGTCACCACAGGAGGGCCAAGGGAACGTGACAAAGAGCACATTGGTCTTCCAGGGCGCACGTGGGAATTGGGCTCTCAGTCTGCAGCATGGCCAGATCTCAGAGGCGGCAGGGAAGGCCCATGCTACCATTTGTCCAGAAAAACAGGAATGAGAACATTGGTGGAGAACACCGAACCCTTCTTCCTTAATAATGAGTCTCGGACGCCATTGCAGCAGTTGATGGTTGACCAAAGAGTCAGGGTTGTGTATCCCGGTCTGACTCAGAGTTTGCCATGTCAACAGGCCATGTGTAACATAACTTCCTCTTACCACGTGCTTGAAATGCCTACCTGGTAAAGTAAGTGATCACTTTGTGGAAGCCTGTAGATGGCATAACTTCTTTAACAATTTGGGTCAAATTGTGAGTGTACTTCCTGCTTGTGGGTGGGTACTTAGCAAGGTTAAATTTATCTTTTGAAAGATTAATTTGATCACAAGGGAATTTGTGCAGAGCTTTATGGTTCTTTGTTGGAGTTGTAGTATGACCTTTTCATCCGCTTTCCA